GTCGCTTGCGGCCGAGGCGGTAGTTTCTTTGACATAAGGTTTGTATTGATATAGTATTAACTCTAGCGCCTCAGCCGCAAGCGACCTCGGCTTAATACGTTGAAATGCACGATGTCATTGTATTAAGCCGAGGTCGCTTGCGGCCGAGGCGGTAGTTTCTTGACACAAGTCTTGTGTTGATATGGTGTTAACACTGACGCCTCGGCAACAAGCAACCTCGGTTTAATACAGTGACATCGAGCACTTCAATGTATTAAGCCGAGGCGACAGTTTCTTTGACATAAGTCTTGTATTGATGTGGTATTAACTTTATACAGTGACATCGTGCTATTCAACGTATTAAGCCGAGGTCGCTTGGCCGCAAGCGACCTCGGCTTAATACGTTGAATAGCACGATGTCACTGTATAAAGTTAATACCACATCAATACAAGACTTATGTCAAAGAAACTGTCGCCGAGGTCGCTTGCGGCTGAGGCGCTAGAGTTAATACTATATCAATACAAACCTTATGTCAAAGAAACTACCGCCTCGGCCGCAAGCGACCTCGGCTTAATACATTGAAGTGTTCGATGTCACTGTATTAAACTGAGGTTGCTTGCGGCCGAGGCAGTACTTTGTTTGACACCAACCTTAATTTGAAATGAATACTCTGAGGAAGTAAAATTTTTAACAATATAACGACCATTTCTTATTTTATAATCTCAAAAATTTAAATCCTAAAATTTTATTCAGAAGAAATTTTTAACGTTTTTGATAACAATAAGTTGATAGTTTTGGGGTTAGATTGAGGTTAATAATTTTTATCAACGAAACGAATACGTACTGATAACAAAATAAGGATTAAATAACGTTAAATAGTTTCATTTCTTGAGTCATAAAACTTAAAAAAAAAAATTTAACGTTATATTGTATTAAATTTCTAATTACCCCACTTTTATTTCTTAATTATGCGCAATACTTTATCTAGAAAATTACAAATTCCTTTAATACTTATAATAAGATAAATTTGAAGTGATAATAACTTTTTAAAAAAATTCTTTTTTTAAAACACTTATCTCATATCAATCCTATTCTTTTCATTTAAAATTTTTTTCGCAATTGACCATTGTCCAAAAAAAAAATATCCAAGTACATGCAATAAATGTTTTAATAAAATATTAAAAATTTAGTAAACAATAGATCGTTAACTTGCGTACTCTATACAATCACGAATATGATTATTATCATGCGATCAGATATCGTAGTACGTAATAGTTTTAGTGAAAACCACACGAACAAATCGACATTTGTTATAACGTCGAAGCAACAATAACAAGTCGGTCTCGAGCGGTTCTGATAACCAGATAAATACGGACAGTTGTATCGTTTTAATTATAGTTCTTGGACGTTGGCAGTTGGATGCAGTCTCGAGTGAGAGGAAAACTCGAACATATATCTCCAACTCCATCAGTGCACGTTTTCGTTTTAACATGAACGCAAGTGATTTATCCTCCGAATTTATTTTAAATTATTAGATTACACTCAATTAAGATTAATCGTGATATATATATTTACATTAATAGTGATTGATTTTGTTGTTAATTAAGTGATCGAATATGGGAAAAGATGATCATGACAAGGTAAAAAAATGAAATTATTTCAAATCACGTGTTGAGATTAAGAAAAAGAAATGATAAAAGAATGTTTTTGCCATTGTTGGATCATTAAATTTAAATTTCAATCAGTTAAAAGGATATGAATCATTAAATTAAAGTTCGCGATGAAAAACGATCTTTGTTAAGATTATTTTATTCCTTTTGGTAAAAAGATGGAAATGAATTAATTTATTGATTAGAAACAAAATGCACTTTGAATGGCGACCTTGTACCATTTAACTTAATTGGAATACTATAAATAGAATTACTTAAATTGTATTTCCAAAAATTTACGGAAAACAAAAAATTCTTTGTTAACCATCAATTTCGAAATGACATTTTAATAGATAACTTATCGCAACCACTAAAGGAAGACAATAGATTCATCGTATTTATCATTTGTACACATAACACGTCATACGATAACACCGTTCGATTCCGGTTTAATTTAAAAAATATTAACTATATAAATTATCAAATTAGAAAAAAAAATCGTTAGATTTGAAGCCAAAATCGTCGTCGTCGATGTTTTCCAAACGAAAATACCTGATGGTTTGGCATCCGTTAACGCGCACACGTTCATATTAATAACGAGATCATAAAAAATGGGTTCTTTTTTAATCGGTTCTAAATTTATGCTTTGTTTGTTATTGTGATTTTTTTTGTTTTAGTTTGGGTTGTTGAAAGATTAAAACAAAATAGGAAATCGTTAAAAATGATTAATTTTACCATGTTATTGTGTGTATCAAAGAGGTTTAGGTTCAATGCACTGCTATCTTATTATTTTAAAATATCATCAGCGGTAGTCAACAAATTGTATTGTAAAACGACTGTTTATGTAAAAGTATTTAAATCTAATTTCCGTTTTGATGGTATCAGCCCTTAAAATCTTTTGACATAAGTTACGTTCGTTTTAATTGGCTTAGACATCATTCTCTTCAGGAGTTGGGCTAAGAGTGTTCTGTTTTGATTCATTTTTGAGTTTGATGATTGCGTTTGACCAGATTGCCGAATATGTTAGGGAGTATAATTGTGGAGATAGCTTTGATTCTTCTCATTTTCCCACACATTGATTATGCCGATGCTGCGTATCCCAATCTGTTCGCAGCTCTTTGGGGTAAATTGGAAAGACTTCAGAACAATTGTATACGGTACATTTTTGATTTAGTAACAACCTGCAGATGACTTTACAGATGATCATTTCGTATGCTTACTATGTTATACAAAATTGTCCATACCCGCACTCCTGCTTATTTGTCTGATGCCTTTCACTTTTTAGTATCACTGATTTCGCCCACTCGATCAATATCGGACTCTACCTCATATTTCCAGTCCATAGTAATGAAATCTACCACAGCTCTTTTAGAGTGCAGTCGATTGCGTTGTGGAACAATTTGCTTGCCGTTGTTTGCAATGCAGCTAGTTTAATAAGTTTAAAAAATACCTTGAGGCGCTATCTGCTAGCTCCTCAACTATCTTCTTCTTGACCTATACGTGTTTGTTTTCTTTTCCAGTCTGCCTCTCATCTATCTTTTGCTGCACTCTTTGGTGTCTATTTCCTTCCTTGTAGTAACTGACTGTTGATCCGTTACATAATTCAAATACGCTCATTTGCTCAGTTTTATTAGCACGTCATTTAGTATTAATTTTTTGGTAGCCATAATTATTTATTTAAAAGTTACATATACACTGTTACCATTTGGGTCTCTTGGTAGATAGCGCTTATTGCCATAAATTGATCCGTTTGTTAATTATTATTATTATTGATTGATGTCTGAATGTGTGAAAGTTCGTAAACGATGTGGTCCTAGTCAGTTCTGACATAGAGGAACTGGAAAACATGTTACAAGATCTTTAGAAATTATTTCGACTTATTCTGAACTGCAAGAAGGTTTCTAGTCACATCAATTAGACCACATTATACATCACTTGACTAAGCGGCATTTTATCGTTTTTAGAGATTTTCTTGCTAGGTAAAAGTGTAACTCTTATCTTAGAAAAATCACGTTATACGATTTTAGATATACCAAGAAATTCTACAATAGAAAAAATAGATGAACCTACAATTTCGGGCCAGTGTCGTTTTCTATATGTTAGTATAGAATTTAAAAAAAAGTCTAACTAGTTTCGGGCCATCTTCAGAGACTCTACAAATAGATTAACATCTCTCATCTTATCCATTTTATAAACGACAGCGATAGGTAGCTCTAGTTAGCATAAGATATCACTAAGTTTCAGTTGTTGACAGTTGTCAATGTCAACTTTAATTTTATTATTATATTCGTAATCTTCATAAAATAATCTTTAAAGTGAGACTTTTATCTCAAGAAATCAAAAAGTTCAAACTTTAAACTTTTAATGTTTACATATTTGTCAATTTCATAAAAAATCCTTTAAAATGAGTCCAAACTCGACATATTTAACTTTAATATGAATGGAAATACAATCACTTCCGGTTTGAAACGTCAACGTCAATTTTGACATATTTGTCATCTTCATTAAAAAACCTTTAAAATGAGTCCAAAGATGACGCACTTATCTCAAAAAACAAAAAAGTTAGAATAAAAAACATTAAACCCGAAGTTAGCAACAATGAAGATAGCAATTTAATTTTTAAATATTAATACCAACCTTAATTTTTTTTTTTTTTTTATTATATTTTTGTTTTTGTGACAAATATTAAGACATTTTATAAAAATTAAAAATATTCCAAAATGACGTTGACATTTCAAACCGGAAGTTGTTTATATCTCGAGTAATATTGGAATTAAACCTATCATGTTTGGACTCATTTTAAAGGATTTTTCACATAGATTACAAATATGTCAAAATTGACGTTGACATTCTTAACCGGAAGTTGACCATAACTTCATTAATATTTAAGATAAATACGTCGTGTTTGTACTCATTTTAAAGGATTTTTAATAAAGATTACAAATATGTGAAAATTTATACTTTTCCGCATTTTCTTTTTACTTTTAACGTTTTTTTTTAGTCATTTCACGGTGATTAAAAAGAAATCGTCGATTTTTAAGTCACGATTATGCAAAACAACATAAATTATAGACATTTTATATTACCCATTTAGAATTTTATAATAAAATCGACAACCACATAATTATCTAAATAAATAAATAATAAACGGTGTTGATTGGGGATTGTCTTTGCCGGGATGGACGTGGAAGGCATAGTTGAGGTCTTTTCTCTTTACCATTAATAGAAATGTTGGTATAACGTTCTACCATTTGTATTATTAAGGAAAAGGTTTCAGTTGCCAATGTCTATTTTAATTTTATTATTATATTCGTAATCTTCATAAAATAACGTTTAAAGTGAGTCCAAACTTGACGCATTTACCTCAAAAAAACAAAAAGTTCGAACTTTCAACTTTTAATTTTGACATATTTGTCAACTTCATTAAAAATCCTTTAAAATGAGTCCAAACTCGACATATTTAACTTTAATATGAATGGAAATACAATCACTTCCGGTTTGAAACGTCAATGTCAATTTTGACATATTTGTCATCTTCATTAAAAAACCTTTAAAATGAGTCCAAACTTAATGCACTTATCTCAAAAAACAAAAAAGTTAGAATAAAAAACATTAAACCCGATGTTAGCAACAATGAAGATAGCAATTTAATTTTTAAATATTAATACCAACCTTAATTTTT